CTCACCTTGAGGGCTGGTGTGGAGACTGGTGTATCCCATGAGGTCACAATGCGCATTGTTTACTTTGGCTTGGTAGGAGCCATTTTGGTTTATTAACCTTGGGATTTGGTTTAATATGCTAAGGGCAGAGGCTGCCATGGAGGGGCAGCAGGGTGGAAGCAAAGTCATCTTTGTGCAAGATGGGTAGGTTCCGAGCCTCCCAACCTTCAGGTGTGTTTCCTAGGAATTACAGTTCTGACATGTCTGGGAAAGGATTGGTTATAATATGGGCTTGGAATTGGAGAGGCTTGGACTGAAAATGAAACAGGAGATGGAGTATGTGCATCATAATCAGATTGAGGTTCAGACCCTTGCATAGCCTTGAGCACCCTGCAGAAAGTATCTTTGAATCCAGCCTTTCTGACAAGGTTGGCTGTACAGATCAACACGGGAGGGTCCAATATAGTGACTTGGCTCCTTGGCAAGAAAGGTAAGGTAGCAGAACAGAATAAATACAGCTGTGGAAAGGATGTTTGATTGCCTCTTATCTTTTAAAATTTAGAATTGAAGAAGCGGAGTTAAACCAGGCTAGGTGTCTGTCCAGCCAACTTGGTTTGATGTAGAATTGCCCAACTTTGTGCCATCTGGATGGGTTGGACTATGGCCCAGACTTCAACTAGCATGATTATTGGATGATGGTGCTTGTTTTATTATTTTTTAATCTGAACATTGAAATGGATAGGGTAAGATAAAAACATTTGAAGAATGTGTGTCCTCTGCTTCAAGCAGACGGTGACCAGCATGCTTATATAAACTAGTTTATAGTCATTTTTATTAAAGAGGATGATAGGACAGTGGAAAAGTGGCATAAATAACATTTGAATTATATCCTTCAAAATAGCATGGAGTGGCATGTATTCATAACCTAAAGCAAACCAAATGGATTCACGACTCTGGTGGCATGCATCAAATAAAATCCCAAAGAAAATAATGCTGTCTTGCAATCAAAAGCCATATAACATCAAGAACATAAATTCAGAAACCCACATAAAGAACATACAACCAGGACTCTCCAATTATGCACTCCCAAAAAATTGTCTCATCCATCAATCTGGTGGTGGATGCCCACGACTAGAATGGCAAAACCACATTTTAAAATCTTGAAGGTTCACAAGGTTCAGGCCATAAAGAGCTTTTTGGTTGAATAGAGATCTTTATTTTTCATATTTCTTTTTATCAGGAACTCAAGAACTAAGTACTTCCGATCTATCTATCACCTTATGTCATTCTGCTCAGTTTGGTCAAATGTTTAATTCCGTTTCTCCCCCCCCTCCCAATTGAAAATGAAGAATGAATTAGAGTATGCAATAATGCCCTCTCCCTTCTCCCTAATTAGGTCACATATGGGGAAATTACATGTACTGCAAAGTCAGCAATGATGTCACAATCCACAAATGGTTTTTTTTTAAAAAAAACCACCTGGCTACCTTGGTATTCTAATCTTTTAAAAACAAACTTAAAAAGTGGCTAAAAGGTGAAAAGTTGTATTCCCAACATATTCAAAAAAGTGTTCTACTCCCTTGTCTATTTCACCTCTTGCAATATATTCTAAGGCGTCTATTAAGTCCTATGTGAGACTGTATTTGAAGATACATGTATTGTGCCATGTATATAAAGTGCTTCAGCTTTAATACCTATTGTGAATCAGCCGATGGGTTGTATCTAGGAATACCAACACACATTCTTGTTTACAGTCGTGTGAACATAAATCATATATATATATATATATATATGCATGCATGCATGCGTACATTTGTTTGCATTTTTGTACTTAACCTGTTGTGCAAATTCGTTGGTTTGGTTACACTACTTTATAGTTCATCTAAGTCAGGGGTGTCAAACTCATGCCGTTATATCATCACCCCTTGATGTATCGGGAACTTTTTTCTGCTTCGCTAAACAGTTGATGGGCGTGGTCAGCATGTGACGCATGTGGCCCTTGGGCTGTGAGTTTGACACCCCTGATCTAGGTTATTAAAACGATTCATTTATAGTGTTATAGGAAGATTGAGCTAAAACTCCTCCCATACTTGTTACATCAATTCAAAAGGAAATTTACTGGCGCCTCAAGGAAGCAGATTCTTTTATCCTAAGGGGAAAATAGGAAATAACTCAATTCCAGTGTTTATTTTCAAAACTATTGTATGATGAGTTGATACAGCTTAGTCTAAAAGTCCCTCGTAGTTACAGCTTGCAATTGGCTGGATTACCATGCATCAACTTGGCTAGGTACATATTAATACAGATATGAATTTTGCAAGGGGTTTTATTTGAATTTTTGGTACCCTCTTGTGGAAATGCTGTGCTGCAATACCAGTCTGAAAGAGCACTCCACTCTGAGCTCACCTTATAATGTGGTCATTCACAGAAGCACCTAAGGTTGTGGCAGGCACTGCTGTTGAAAATCAGTAAGTTGCTGATCTTGTAGTTCATACCATGAATCAACTTCTATTAAGACTGAGCCACGTGGTATAGTTTCAATTGAGCACAGCATCAGTGCAAGAGTGAATTTTGCTGTCTTACACAAAGCTCATGTTTTCTCTATTAGCAAGCAATCTGAGTAGAAGCTATTCAGACAAAGGAAGCAGGTGTAGGGGAAAAAATGGAGTGGGCTATTATTTGAAATGCCCTTTGCAAAAACCTCATGAATGAGACAAACTGCATAAGTTGTATAAATTAGAAAGTGATGCTTTAAATTCAACATGGAGGATGTTCCCCTCCAAACCTTCCCCCAAGATTATGAGTTTCCTGAATTGTGTCATTGAAATAATGACTTATCAAGAAAGTCTTTTTTATTAGAAAGTGATGCTTTTTTTTTCACTTGAGAAATGATACAGATTGAATGGTAGTTGAAACTGGTGCATTTTTGTAATAGTGTAGATTCTAACTCTGGAAATTGCATTAGTCATTTGTTCCCCTCTCCTAAGTCAGATTTGTTATATAAACAAATCATGTTTATATACTCCTAAACTAGATACCGGAAGTGATGGGGGGGGGGGAGAGAGATAATAACTTGTCCATACTTACACTCAGTCTGTACACAAGATACTCTTGGTCCTATCTTTTTTTTCTGTAGTAAAGTGACTTTTATCTAAGCATCATTTGATATGAGAGAGCACAGGAGGAGCTTCATCACTGGAAGCTTTCAAGAAGAGACTGGATTACCATCTGTCAGAAATGTTGTCTCCTGCTTGGATGGGGGTGGGGTGTGAGGTGGACTAGATGATCTACAAAGTCCCTTCCAACATTGTTATTCTATACTCTTAGAACTGAAAAAGGATTATAAGAACGAAACAGCAGAAGATGTGCATGTCATAGACACTTACAAAAGTAGAATATTTCTACATATCTTTTGCTAAGCAATGTATATTTTTGGAAGAATCATTTATTGTGACAAGGATTAATGCAAAGAATGGAAAGGCTTAGTCTGAATCTCTTTTTTAAAGACGTCTACAAGTTTCGGGAATCATTAACTTGCAGAGAATAGTAAGCGGTAAGGTTAGGAACTGATGGGATTACTGAATGCGAATGTGCTGATTTTGCTGACCTATCTGTTCTTTGTTGACACAGAGTTGTATCCTATCAATAGTCTGATGGTCAGTCCAAAAAAGCAGATTTCTTTGCTTATAAATTCTCAACAAATGTATTAAAATGAGTGTGACTTTTTATTTTTTTTTATGAAAACCTGCTCAAGAAATGTCCCAGTAGCATCCATTACGTCAACATTCAGATGGAAGGAAGCAGGCATCTGTGACGCTTTTATATGTTTTGAATGCATTTTAGGAAACCCCCTCCCCCCAATGTTGGAGTACTTCCTTATTGTACATGCACATCCCTCAAATGCACACAATCTCATGCTTAGAAATATGCAAATGTTTCTATCACACTGTTCTGACTCTGGAACAGATTGTTACATCAAAGCAAGCCCATTCTCAAGTGTCCAGTAATGTCTCACTTCAAACTGGACCTGCCTAGATGTTCCAGAAGTAGAACACTTCAAGGTCACACTATTATTGGAACACTTAGAATGTCCCTTTAGATAGTCGGGTCAAGCTCTCAGAACATGGTTTCTTCAACAGGCCTGGGGATGCCTTAGACAGCAGGGAGACCAAACAACATGTAACATTCTGATTTTAAACCTCTCATGAACTTGGTTTTAATAATTGCTGTAATTGTTTTAACTGATTTTACACTATGGGTAAATCATTGGCCTAATTGTACACCACACAGAGTCACTTTGGGTGAGAAAAGTGGGCATATATATTTGATTAAATAAACAAATGCCATATTTTGCATGACACAGCTATTCACACAGATTGTCTATGATGGCTTGCTATATATTTGGAGTGGGGTGCTTACTCTGGAATTTTATTTAAGATAAAGCCAGTAGTGTTTGTTGCTTTTCACATCCAGAATCTTTCCGATAGAAAGAATGTAGGTTGAAATTAATAACCTAAATTTGGGTAAATATGCATTTTTCAGAGAAACTGGAATACCTTGTCAACAACTTATGGTATAGTATGAGAATGTGTATCTAGCACTTAACAATATTCTGATTCTCATAGAAGTTGGTGTCACTGAAAATAATATTTTGAGTTAGTATGTTGCTGGCACACTCAAATGTGTTTTGAGGTTAATCAAAACTATTCATCAAGAAATCTGTTCAACTTATTGGGACCTAAAAGATAGGGATGCCAAAAGAATTATGTGAAATATGTTTAGACTGAGAAAATGGAAACTGATTTAGAGTCATACCAAATATTGTCTAAAATAAAACTGTGATTTGAATTTCCTTGGTATTAAATATAATGCTGTATCAGGTATATCGTCCTGGTCTAGGAATGTATTAGATCCTCTTTATTGGAGTAGTATTCTAAGTGTACATCAAATTTAGGATTAGGGGTTCAGAATTTTGAGAATATTAAACATACAGTATGTTATGTGCTAGCTATTATATTCTAATGATAACACTTTTTTTCCCTCTCTTCCATACTGGACAGGTATACTTAAAAGAGGCGAGTCCTTCTGTAGATTCACAGTGAGGTAAATGATTTAGGAGCTAAGCTGTGAAATACAGAGTCTGCAAGCATGTACTCCTCCTGTCCCCCTAGAGTGTCAGGTAAGTCTTTTCCTCACTCTTGCTCTATAAATGTCTGCATAAATATGTGTATTCTTAGAAATGTTCAAACGTTTCAAGTAAATAATTAGAAACCAAGAGTCCTGGGATGGTGTATATTAATAAGAAAGTTACTGCTTTGATCTTATGTTTTGTTGAACATTTGCAAGGAATTCTTGCTTGTCTTCTGAGGGGCCATATTAGAAACCATGTTTGGCAAGATTAAAATTCTTGTTGAGCAAATTTCAGGGGAAAGAAAACTATTAATTTTTTTGAGAAGCCGGAAAACATCCTTAGTAGCAATAAGGTTGTTAGTGAACAGCATTTCAGTGGAAAAACACAGCAAGAGATCCACATGACAAAGCCAGCAGTCGATTTATTAATATAAAGAGACAGGTCCCAGGGTCCAAAATCAGGACGAAAACAACATTTCCTCTCAAAGAAATAAGATACCCTGTTGAACTTCAACTCACTTTCCAACTTCTGGATTCCCACAGGCCTGGAAATTTCTTGTAGAGGAATCAAGAAAGTTGGGATCAAAAATCTGTGAAGGATGGGCAGGAATGGAGAATTCTTGAAATGAATCATAATGTTATTGTTGGAAGGCTGTACAAGGGAGGGCGGTGGTTTGGAAGAAATGTATTGCTGGAGTCTAATTCAATTGTTGGGTGTTGTGTTTTTCAACATACAGTATTTTTCACAAGTTTTCTATCCCTGAAGGTTTGTGAATAGACTGTCAGGACTTCATCATTTGTGACATACAAAGAGTTGTGAACTGCTACTGAGGTTGTGTCCATGTATATGCTTGAGTTATCTCTAAATCTGTTGCAATCCTGCTTTTTATAGACCCCAAGAATATTCCACCAGCTTATTGTGACTTGGGGAAATCTGCTAGAGATGTATTCAACAAAGGATATGGTGAGTAACGTAATGCCCACAAACCCAATTTTTTTTCTTTTCACCTCAACCTTAGACTAGCCATCAAAAAAATGATACTGATACTACTTATCTCTTAGGGAAATCCTCTTTTCAGGTGACTTAAACAATGTTGATTTTTATCAATTGGATAACATTAAACTTGCAAGATTTTTTTTTGCAATGCTCAGGACTCAAGCTTTTTAAAAATGTATTTTTCTAGACTTCACTAATTGTGGAACATAAAGGGAGTGCAATAGCAGAGGTCAGCGATTAATAAATAATCTTGATATTTTTTCACATAATTTTGGAAAAATCTACAATTATTATTAAATCAGTTTCTGAGAATGGTAACTTACTTATTCCAAGGGTTTATGTGGGGATAGATAAATCTCTAGATTTTTCCTGAGCATGGTAAGAACTTCAGAAGAGCATGACAGGACCAGGCAAGCAACTGGAATTCCTGTTATTAAGTGACGTGCTCATATTGCCTTTGTCTGTAACTATTTCAGACAAATAAGTGTGGTTTATCACATCATTTATTTTGCTGTGTATTTTAATTTTAGGGTTTGGAATGGTCAAGTTAGATTTGAAGACCAAGTCCTCCAGCGGAGTGGTAAGCAGTGACCTTATTAAATCATTCCTGTAACAGAAGGCTTTGTGAAACATCTAGGAAAATCTCTGTAATACTAAAGATGTAGCCCCTACAAATATTCCCTTTTAGAATCCCCAAATCTTACCTCCCTATCAGTGTTTTGTGATGATTTTTCAACAGATTAATAATTTGGAGTGTGGATTTAGTAACTGGCAAAGAAAGACTTTGATGACAATTTTATCGTGCATTTGTCTGGCATATCGGAACAATTATACCAAGAGAGATAAATAACTGCAGCAATATATAATGATTGATATAATTGGAAATCCAGGTATAAGTGGTAATATGTAGGATTAATCAAATTTTACTGATGGATTAATGGTGCTAATTTAATTTTTCCCCCTTTTTTCATGCAACACTGTTTTTGGATGTGTAATTAGCTGGTAAGAATACACTATATTCTCTTCTATATGCTTTTTGTTAAGGTTTATTTATTTAGACCATAATCCAGTCTGTCTCAAAGCCATTCCGATGGTTAAAAAAATGTGATAAAGAGGCTCTAAGTGTTGCATTATTAAAAAGAACCATTTATATTGGAACTGTCCAAAGAATGAGAAATTGGCATAAAACATTTGCCCATTCTTTATCACATGCACCATTTCCCAGCCCATTCTTCACCTGCTTAGAAATTCTCACTAATTCTCAAATTGTGCTTGACTATTAAAAGCAGTCTAAGGGCCTAAACCCTGATCAGATTAATTGTAAATGTTGCATACTTTCTTTCTTTTTTATTGGCATCTATACCAGTGTGGAATTTCTAGTGGGGAGTTCAGTTTTTGAAATTTGTCTTGGGGTGGGGGGAGGAGGGGAAATGAAAGATTATTTCTTCCAGTAGCTTTTTGGCCAACCACCAGAAGGGCTGAACACCCTCTACATCTTTGCAACACTTAAGATATATTAACCTGGAATAATGGGATTTATTTCTTCTGTCTCATGTTTGATTTTAAAATATCTGTCTTGTATTACATGATCTAATGTATGATAGCTTTAAGCACATTCTGTTTTATTAAAGTAGTAGGGAGGGTTAGCATTTTTCCTGTCCCCCTCTGTTGAGGGCTGCCTGTGGGGCATGACTGAAACAAGAAGTAGGGCACTTGCCAGAAATGGATGAAGAATAATTATCTCTTTCTGATATCCCCTCATACTCTTCCAAAAGGCTACCAAGGAAGGTACAGAGCAAAAATCAACACTGATTTTCTTGCACGGGAGTTTTGAAACTTAAGTCCAAGACTCCAGAATGAAAAGAATCAAGAAAGCTTGATGCTGAATTAATAGACTATCAATATTAATAGATCAATAGTAGTATGGAATGGTATAATTTTGTCGGTGTCATGGCACACCCTGAATGATAAGACCTCGGACAGGGGAAATATATCTTGATATGGTCCTGAAATTCAGTAGACTACTTTTATAACGCTGCTAACCCCTGTTGTAGATCAGGGGTGTCCAATCTTGGCAAGGGTTAGCATGGCTGGTTGGGGAATTCCGAGAGTTGAAGTCACAAGTCTTTAAGTTGGCAAGATTGGACACCCCTGTTATAGATGGAAATTGTATAATTTGTTAACATTGCATGTTAAAGACCCAAATCTTTGCAACTTAAGATAAATGTAATTTGTTTACAGGAATTTACTACTAGTGGCTCTTCCAATACAGACACAGGCAAAGCCTCAGGCAACCTTGAGACTAAGTATAAATTTAAGGATTATGGACTTACATTCACTCAGAAATGGAACACTGACAACACCTTAGGCACAGAGCTCACCATGGAAGATAAGGTAAGAATGGGGAATTTACCCTAAGACACCTCTTGTATCAATACAGGTAGTACAATTAATTGCGCTTAATTTATTCTGTGCAGTCCAGAATAAAATAGGTTTTGTGCATTATAGAGGAAACCTTTTAAAAAAATCATTTTCTCCCACATTTTTCCTAGATCAGATCTTCATCCTGATCTGTACAAAATTTAAAATAGCTAGAGTAACATTATGCTATGTTTTATACTGTTAGTGTATTTTCCTATTTTGTCAGCAGCAGGGTGTAAATTTGATTAGTAAATAAATAATAAATGAGCATGGGTAGCACTAGATCTGTGGAAATCCTTGGAGAATTAAAATCTGAGGATGGGCACTGGGTGGATTGGTCTCCTAGAAGCTAAAGATTAGGAGGAGGAATTCTGAATGAGAAAATCGTGAATCCCATGAGTCCTAATTTGGGGAGATTTTAAGATGTTCTGCATTCTTCTGACTTGCAGTTAACCTTCTGGTAATTGAAGGACCCCAAAAATGTAACCCATATTGTGGGGAGAAAGAATCAATGTATTCTTTTCCTTTCTTCATTTGCAGTTGGCTGAGGGAATGAAGTTGAGTCTTGAAACCATGTTTGTACCAAATACAGGGTAAGTATTCCTCTAAAAGGCCTCTTTTGCTACAACCCTTCCCCTGTAGGATGTGGTACAACATATATATATATATATATACTGTTGTTCTAAATCCATGACACCCGCTCTCTCCTGGAACCCCACTTTTGGAAAATTGCCAGGCTGTGGGAGATTAGTTGTTACCATGTTTCCCAGAAAATAAGGTGGGTCTTATTTTCTTTTGCCCCCCCCCCCCAATAAGTACTGAGCCTTATTTTCGGGGAGGTCTTATTACCGTATTTTTCGGAGTATAAGTCACACCTTTTTCCCTCAAAAAAGAGGCTGAAAATATGGATGCGTCTTATACACTGAATACAGCATTTTTTTGCCTCCTGAAACCCCACCCCCTTCACTAAAATGGTTGTGCATAGCCTTTAGGAGGCTTTCAGAGTGCTGCTAAGGGCTGGGGAGGGCAGAAATTTTGCCCCCCCCCCCACAGCCCCCAGGAACACTACAAGCCTCCTAAAGGCTATTCATGCCTTTGGGGGGGGGGGGATGGGCCCATTTCTGCAAAAAGTTGCTGTATTTGGGAGGTCTGCAGAGTGCAGAAACTTTTTTTTTTAATTTGCCTCTTCAAATTCTTGATGTGTCTTATACTCCGAAAAACATGGTATTTTTGAGGTGCAGGAAGTGGTGAGCATGATCACCTCATGGCTGCTGCTGTGTTGTTATATATATATGTCTTATTTTGGGGGGGAGGGCTTATTTTAGCACATGCGCTCAAAAGCCCGATTGGGCTTATTATGCGGGGAGGTCTTATTTTCGGGGAAACAGGGTAATAGAAAATGTCCTTCTATGTGTGTGTAACATATCTTTAACATGTCAACAAAATACAGTTTGGGGATCCCATCGATGCCTTCTAACTATTGCAGGAACTTTGTTGCTGACTGTTTTCATAACATTTGAGTTGTAGAAAGCTTTGATCCTTAACATGTAGTAGAAAATGTCAATAAAACATGAGCGGTGCTATCTGCTAGACAGCCTGACTCCATTTTCTCTTCTTCTTCTTCTTCTTTACCTCCCGTTTGCCAGGAAGAAAAGTGGGAAGTTGAAGACATCTTACAAACGAGAATATATAAATTTAGGTTGTAACGTTGACATCGATCTTTCAGGGCCGACCATTCATGGCTGGGCTGTTTTGGGCTATGATGGTTGGCTGGCTGGCTATCAGATGGCTTTTGACACTGCTAAATCCAAACTTTCACAGAATAATTTTGCCTTGGGTTACAAGGCAACAGATTTCCAGCTGCATACAAATGTGTAAGTACTGATGGAAGGCAAGGGGTGGGCGGGGGCTGAACGTGAGCGAATGTATGTGAATGAGTCTTGGTAGTGGGGGGGCGGGCGTGCAGACTTCAGACTAAATGAAGCCTTGCTGTACCTAAAACAGAAGGTTTCTTATCAGTTGAGATTTTGGTAGAGAAGCAGCTGATAAACTTTTTATTTTGTGGTTTGAAAAAGGCCCTAAGTTTTGAGAATAACTGACCGGGTCAGAGAGTGCAGACACAGCTAATTCGCTGGTTGTCGCAATCCTGGAAAATTTGAACTCCTTGTTTATATTTCTTCCCAGATCTTCTTCCCTGTATCTACACTGATTATAGGGAAAAGGTTGTGGCTTTTAAAAAAAAAAAAAATCAGGAATTTGGAAGGATCTAATGAAAGCTCAGGTCTTTGAATAAAGCATGTTATTTAGAAAAAGTGTAAACCACATTTCTGATTTCAAGAATTGGTATATGATTTTTAACTTTACTGTGTGTGCTTGTTCCATCCCCTGGTACAGCTGGAGAAATTCATATTTTTGTAACCTTTTTGATTCCAACTGTTCTTGAGGAATGTTTGTAAATCACCTCGCTCTGAAATGTTGGATACATTAAAAGAATGCCAAGGCCAGGGAGAAATTATTCAATTGTATTATTCAGACACTTGTCAGTCTGTTTACTCAAGGAGAACAGGGGAAACAAAAGGTGTGATTGTGTGTGTGGGGAGGTTTATTTTTGAATTTTAGGCAGAATTCTTTTAAGGGCAGAAATGGGATTTCTTCTGATTTGTTACCAACAGGAACGATGGCACTGAATTTGGTGGCTCAATCTACCAGAAGGTTAATGACAAGGTTGAAACAGCTGTAAGTCTTGCTTGGACTGCCGGTAGCAATAACACTCGGTTTGGCATTGCCTCCAAATACCAGCTGGATGATAAAGCCTCTATCTCGGTAAGAATTTTGCCTGTTTTCTAGAATATTATAACTGCGTTGGTTAATGGAGTTGTTTGGATGTCATATTCTTCTTTCCTCCTCCTATTTACTTAGAAGTTTGGAAACTCCTCGTTGATTAATGATTTTTCAGAATCTGCCATCAATCTGGCTCATTTCAGTTTAAGCCAGCTTCAGGCTGATTTGAGATTGGCTTGTTAGCCATTGGCAAGTTTGGGTGACGTGACATTGAACAGCAGAATTGGGGGCAAGCACGGACTGTTTGCATCTCACTAAAAAATCATTTAGCAAAATTTCTGAACCTCCTCTCTGAATGCGTCACACCTGTTTTTGCTGCTACTTAGTTTAGAATATGGAACATAGAGCATTTTTAATTAGTTTAATTTATGACTTTGATGGGAAACACTAATATTAAATCTTTCCTTTTGGGATCTTCTTTTGGAACTGTTTTGTATGCTTCAGTGAACACTACTGGCTTACAAATAAGTTTGTGAATATGATCATTTGCTGATGGTAGCTTTAAGCTTAAGTGTCCTTAACCTGGGATTCATGGATAGATTTCAGAGACTTGAGTAGGAAAAAAAATGCAATTTTATTATCTCTAATTTCTAACAGAACTTTAGCTATTTATTTACCAATGTATGTGGAGGATAAAATAATTTCTGGCCTCTAGACTGAAAAAGAAAGTCATTTCCCAGTAATTTTATATATAAGAACAGCAAGATTTATATCTATGGTTGTAGGAACTATTTATCCAAGGTCAGTGAAGGCGAATCCTTGCACAGCAAAAGTTTTTTTTTAACGGGCAATTGTTATTAGCTTTTCCTTATCTGTAAGTTGTTAGCTTTAGTTCAGCGTTCAAGATATATGCATAAATGCTTATCCTAGGAAGGAGCCCATGTGTTATTTATGTGCTGCACTTTTATTTCTTTTTAGGCCAAAGTGAATAATGCCAGCCTCATTGGACTTGGTTACACTCAGACTCTCCGACCTGGTATGTTAATCATTTGCTTTTCATTTTAATAATAATTGTAACAAAGCTTCCAGCAATTGTGATCATCGGCTTGGAAGCATGGAGGCAATGACAGCTGTAATTCAGAATAGCTCAGCGAGATTCCATGTGGATCACAGGAGTGGAGTATACGAATCTGGCCAAGAATAGTACGTGTTGTACCATTCATGCCAAGGGAGAGTCCTGTCCCAAGAACTGAAGGGCAAATGAAGGGAAGGCAGCTAGATTAAACCAAGCTAGTCTGGGGATTTCTCATGTTGAAACTCTCCAGCAAATGGATAATAGTTCGAAACCTGGCATTCTGTGCTTCAGATTTCCCAGCCTTTCTCCTCCTATGTGTTGTTATTTTCCCCCCTTATTCTCTAATTCTGCTGTTTCTCATTCTCTAACAATGTCTTCTTTCTACCAGGTGTGAAGTTGACTCTCTCAACTTTGATTGATGGCAAGAATTTCAGCACCGGCGGCCATAAAATCGGTCTGGGATTTGAGCTGGAAGCTTAATGTAGGTATTGATGAAGTATTAGATCTTTATTTGGAAGATGAAGGAGAAAATAAAACCCCACATGTTCTGGCCTTAAACTCTTCTGTGAAACTTCAAAAAGCGTGAACTCAATATTCTTCCAAAGAATTGTTGTAACCCCCAACACTGAAGTCTGGAGAGTGCAACCTAATGAAGGGCAATACTTGAAGGAATGCATGGAAGTTGTAATGGTTGTAATGTTACATGGAAGTTGTAATGCTACATTTCAGTTCAGTTCTTCAGTTATTTTAAAAGTGTTCCTTGGAAGACAGCATAGCATCTGGTTAACAGGAAGAATCTCCCACTTCCCATCCTTCTGTGTCACTTTATCACATTGTGCATGTCCGACATTTCACGACCTTTTGTAAAACTGGTTTCTGTGCTGTAGTGAAAGCTTTGGTTTTGCATCAAAATGGAAATAAATGAAATCACATTTGGAACCCAATCCTTTGTTTGATTAATGCTACTTTCCAAATCCTAAATGTTCCCCGTTTGGGACCAAACAGGCCAAGCTAGGAAAATAATTGTTGGAGGGGGAATTGCATGACATTTTCTGTAACTCACACGGTTTTGCTGCCAAAGGAAATCCTTTAAAAGTGCTGCTCTCTCTGCAGTAGAAAAACTAGATTCTTTTATATAGCACTTGATAGAGAATAAATATAGTAGCAAGTTAAATGACCTTTTCTTCACCAGTGGAGGAAAGAACATGCTGAATAGCAGCACTCACCATTTGGGATTTTTTTTTTTTTTTGCTATTTCCCTCTCACAGAATAGCATGATGACAATGTGTGCCTTTCAGATACTATCAATTAATACTGCTTAACAAATAAATCAATAAAATAGCCACTGTGTTAAGTCTGTTTCTGTATTGAAATTGGTAATTTATAGCCTTTATTACAACAATACATATTTTTCCATCATGGGTCTACTGTAAAAAAATAATGAGATCCTTTTTTTGCAGTTGGAGGACAGATAATTTTTTTAAACTGATCTGAGACCTGCAGAACATTTGACTTGGGAAAAAGATTCAGGAAAAGACTTTAAGGCACAAAGTGTTATCTTTTAACAATGTGTTTTAAAATGTAAGCTTCATGTATCCATTTATTCCTCTTTTTAGAAAAAAATATATCACTGGGAATAATTGAACCATGGAATATTGGTGGTTCCTCAAATCCTAGGAATTTTGAAATTCACCGCTTTCAATATTTTTAACCATAACTCAATACAAAACCTGGCTAGAGGGGACCAAAACTTTTTGCCTATTCACAATTGAAGAAGTCTGGTAAATTTACCCCTTACCGAAGCCTTATTTTGGTTACTGTATCTTTTTATTTCTTTGATGAGATTTTTACTTCTCTCCAAAAACTGTTGACACCAAAGTCCATTGAGGAAGCTGTAAAAGTAGATGCTGGGAGTGTTGTATTTAGCCCCTGCAAATGCCATTCAAACTTTCCAATGACTTCAGGAGGAAAGATTGTGTGTAGACAGACTGATGTGTTGGCCTCTGTCCCTACATCAAATGCAGCTTCTGTCCCACAAATATATTCAGAGCAATATTAACAGAATTGTATCATATGCGGAAGCCTCATGTTAAGAATGCTCCACATTCTTGCTGGAAATGGAGATTTCTTTTTTCTTGTGTACTTCCGAGTAACAAAATGTATGCCAACTGTTTTCAGTCTCTGCAATTAAGCAGTAATATGGAAACAGGCACTATCAGGTGAACAATGAAAACCGTACAGAAAAATATAGTTTATATTACAGTAGAGTAAGAATCAAATACAAGACTTAGGGTCACCCAGTAGGCTTCAAGTATAGATTTCTTCACAAGAACAGCACTTTACACTAACGTGAGGTCATCAACATGATGGAAAGTTAATTATTATGTGATTAAATTAAGATTATATTCACATCTGAGTTTGTTCTAGTCTTTTTCTTTCTTCCGCTGGAAGTTCCAGCCAACTCCAGTCCAAAGTCTAAATATAAAGAAAATGCATGTTCCTATTAATGTACTCTGTGTTAGTTAACATATATAGGCCAGAGGTGAACAGTTAATTTTTCCACATGAGAAACCAAGACTGTTGGGGAGGGCTGACGCCCTGTCTCCCACCTACTCCCACCTACTCCCACCCCCAAAGATTATGCCTGCTACCCCAGGCCAGAGTGGAACAGCCCGTGGGCTGGATGTGGCCTCCATGTCTTAAAACGCTCGGTTGTGACATAGAACAATAGATATGTGAATTAAGTAAATTGTCCCCCCTTTTTAATTTTTCTTTTCTATTTTCTATCTCTGTTTAAGCAGTATTCTATATAACTAGTTGGCTGAAAAGTGAGAATGACTCTTATTATTTTTCTCCCAAACCATCACCCATCTGCTAGAGAGGACCAGAATTTACCATAAAGCTGTGCTCTTGATCCTTCATTGTATCCACCATGACATTCTCCAGCTGACTACAGAGGCTGTGAGTTTCCACCAGAAGATCCTCACTAAGAGATAAAATTATAAAAGGAAGCTTTATAAAGACATTTCACAGGCAAAATATTGGGTACAAAGAGAGGCCACCCTCCTAACTCACTGCTTGCTTTTGTCAAGAGCAAGCAAAGTTTTCATCTCTAAGAAGTCTCTACTAGGCCAATTAAAATAGTACTTATTTTCCATAACATTGATTCTACCCCCTCTGGCAGAATATTAAAAAATATACATAAAAAGATATCGGGAACCAGTAATTCACTCCTCTGTTGCATAAACAGTGAAACATATTTTGTTTGGCTTATGTACTCATAATGAAACTAAGTATTCCCTTCATGAGCTGTGTATTTGCAGCCAAAATCTGCTACTCTTTACATATGATTTACTAGCTTTCCCCTCCTAACATGAGTATGTATTACTTATGCTCCAAAGGACCTGTTGGTACCGTGAATCTATAATCAGACATTTAAATATATTTTCGACCAAATAAAATGGCTGAATTGTGTTCTGTGTATTTTGGCATCTTGAAGCACCTAGGTTTGTTTTTAGAGATCTCTAAGGTAAAGGTTCTCCTCGCACATATGTGCTAGTCATTCCCGACTCTAGGGGGCAGTATTCATCCCCTTTTCAAAGCCAAAGAGCCAGTGCTGTCTGAAGATGTCTCGGGGGTCATGTGGCCGGCATGACTCAATGCCGAAGGCACACGGAACGCTGTTACCTTCCCACCCAAGCTGGTTCCTATTTTTCTACTTGCATTTTTTACGTGCTTTCGGACTGCTAGGTTGGCAGAAGCTGGGATAAGTAACGGGAGCTCACTCCCTTACGCAGCGCCAGGGANCCCCCCCCCGAATGATGAATGTATGTTGCCTACTATTTTATTATATGTCTTCTATCTTGTTGTTTATGTTCCCCCCTTCCCAGTTTTATGTGAGCCGCCCTGAGTCCCCTCAGGGAAAAGGGCGGCCTACAAATTCTAATAAAACTACAAAACTACAAACAGACTACCAAAGAGCCAAGAAGCTCCAGAATCAAAAAAGAATATAAATTTGTGGATGAGTTGGTGTTTATTATGGAGGAGCCAGTAGAAACAGGGTCAAAACTAGTTGAAATAATAGAAGAATGTGGAGAAGTAGTGGGTTTGAAGATTAATAAAGATAAAACAAAATTTTTGGTGAAAAATATGACAGAAAAACAGAAAACAGAGTTGATGGGGAAACTGGACATACAGGTAGTGAAAAAAGTGAAATATTTGGGGATTCAATTGACATCAAGGTGTATAACGTTAAAGGAGGATATCTTACAAGGTGAGGAAACAAATAGAAATAGATCTATTCCATCTAATAGATGGAAAGATGGAAAAACCTACAACTATCACTGATGGGAAGAATATGTTGAAAACTTTTGAGGGATAGCAATACTTGCCGCTTACAAATTCTGAACGAGAACACAAACAATGGTGTTGGTGTAACAGACTACCAAAGAGCCTCCAGAATCAGATGTCATCGTGAACATTACATTTCACTAGGCAGCTTTGGTTAAAGCTGTCTTTCTGTCTCAGCCAAGTGTGCTTTTCACTTACTTTCCCTACCAGTTCGCAAAAGTTCGCATGCACGTTGCACAAATGTGCACTCACTTCGCTCGCATGAGCCCCTTCCACGCACGCGCACAGCCACAAAAATGTGCTCAAATAGGACGACATAGAGCCAGGGTGGGTGGGTGGCCCACACACGATTTCCACTACGGGTTCGAGCGAACCGGTCTGAATCAACTAAATACCACCTCTGGTCTCAGCCTATTTGCCACAGAAGCAGAGGAATATAGAACTCTTGTACAGAACAATGACACGGTTCACACACCGAACTCAACAATATTGTGATTTGTTCATTAATGTTATATGCAGGCCCACTCATCTTGAAGTGTTCAACAAACCAGGGTTCTTCCTTTAGTGACCTCAGCCAGCTGATACAAGAGCAGGGGAAAACATTTATTCTACGGTAGCAAATCTGATTTTAAGTGAATTGCAACTTACTCTTCCACAAAGCTCAACGGTCTGTTCCATCTCCTTCCAAGCAAGTAGCAGTTTCTCAGAAGCTGTAAAAAGAAACACCGCTATGATTTTCAGTTTGATTTCAAAAGAAACATGTGCCCGTTTCTAAATTAATAAAATCCTTATTTGGGCTGTTTCATTTGGGTATCACAAAAAACTTTAAAATGTCGATACCCTGGTGGGGAATACATGGATTTCATTCATTGAGATCATGTGCCCAGCTAGACATTTGCACATGAGAAGATAGTTTGTATTTTGAAGAGAACCAAACCAGTAGAAATACCATTCAAAAAGTACTGTAGATTTTGTACAGGCTACGGCAGGTCCAGGATGCAAATTCTAAGAGGCTTGTTTCCCTCCTTTGAAACTTGTTTTTTTGGCAAGAACAGCTTATTCTAACTTTCAATCCCACCAGAAATAACCAGGATAAATAAACAGACAGACAGATACCTTAACCCAGCTCATGCTGCTTTTTATTGCATTATTGTTGTTGTTGTTGTTGTTATTTGGCCCTCAAACAAATCAGAACTAGGGAAAAAAGCTCCAAACTCCACTGCTGACGTCTTATCAAAGAGAATGAAACTCACTGATTCCAAATTCAATTTGCTCGTTGTATTTCTCCAGATCGATCTGGATGCTGGTTTTGAAGAAGTCCAACTTTGCCTTCAGCTGCTGGGAGAGCGAGGCCATCGCATTCTTCATCTTGGAAAGAGTGCTGTTGTGACGCAGCAGGTTCCGCCTACGAAGCCGGGGGTGGGAAGGGGGAGGGGAAAAAAAAGAGNGAGAGAGAGGGGGGGAGAGAGGGAGCATTAAATTGTCTGTATGCCAAAATGGGATTGCTGTCCTGTGTATCAGAACTTGGGAGATACACATTTTAAATTAAGCAGGTTCTAGACAGGAGCTGAAATGGAGCTGCTGCAGTTGATTTTAGGCCAACCATCTGGGTTCAAGAGACAATGACATCTGCAGATGTTTAAGAGCAAAAGCATAATATGTACTAAAAGGGATTAAACCTTTTATTTGAGGCTGGTAATCTGAGAGATTTTAAATGGGCAAGCAGTAGCACTTCCCACTCAAATTTGTTTTCATTTCTGCTTTACAAAGCTAGGCAGAAATCTAACTTCAATTTCCCAGCTATTAAGATTGTTGGCCGAGCAGGTACAAAGATAGCCAGGGAAATGATTGAAGCCTGGGAAACATGCTCCTTGTCAGTGCTGATTTACCACCAGCTTATCAAATACTTAGGAGTCAAGGACTTGGCGGCACAAGGAAAAACAGCCAATCACCGCCCATCAACCCAACAATCGTCCAGTAGGAGGGCACCGCATAAAAACGAAGCATAGTATAGCCCATATTCCAGTAGAGAAGTTCCCTGAAGATGGGCTCCAATGTAAGTCTGAAAACTCGGAAGAGTAAACCTCTGGTCCAGGTGCCTGACCCAGATTGGGTCCTGGGACACAAAAATTTGCCTTCATGCATGAGAAATATAACTGAATAATGTGCTCAGGAAGACTCTTATCTCCTGGATGAAGCGTTAAAAGACTGAGATATTTCTATATTGCATTATATGATCCTGCACTGCTGCCTATGACTTGCCCCCCTTATGAAAACAAGATCAACTGCTTTTGATTGGAGCTTCAAGTCGAAAGGAAACTAACTCTTAATGCAAAACAGAACAGACGCAATAACTCTGGAAGGCAGGTGGCAGCCCCTGGTTGACCTTGGCTGTTCTCTAGTGTGGTCGTGGGAGGGTCCAAGAATGGGTTGTCATGTCCTTTTCTCCCCAGGGACAGAGTCATCAAATTGTTGGCACGCCTCCGTGCCTCTCTGCTTGGCCCCAGTTTCGACTCAGTCTTGCCCAGGAGAGTGCTCACTACATCAGGAACTCCGGACCAGTCAGTTCCACGTCCTTAGGACTGCCGCTTTGGTATGTCCCATTCTTGGACCTTTCCACAACCGCACTGGAGAATACATGTTGGTCCTACCTGATACCTTGCTTCTCAGGGGTTGCAGGAGGGTCCAAACCCACCCTGTAGATGGGAGATCCGTAGTCCAAGAGTGCAGCACAGTTAGCGAATAGGCCATTTATCCACAGCTGTGTCTTTGTCAAAATGAGCCAGGCAGAGAGGGCACGGAGGCATGGCTACAATTTGATGACTGAGTCTCTGGGCAGAAAAGGGCATGACAACCCATTCTTGGACCCTCCCGCAACACACTGAGAAGCAACATATCAGGTAGGACCTACGTTTCATCTCAAGCAGCAAAATGAGACTGGATCAGATGACTTTTAGGACAGAATGCTAATTTCAAGGTAAACTGGAAAGAAAGAATGGAAAAGGAAAGGGTGGGAGGTAAAAGGAAGGAGAGAGGGAGGAAGGAAGGGAGGAAGAAAAGAAAGAAATCCCAGAAGGCAGCAATGGAAACTATTTCTAAACCATTAAACTATGTAAAGTTCAACTCAAAAAAGACCCAATTTGGAATAGGACACCACAATTACCTTTTAACCCCAGAGTCCACCAAATGATTTTGTGGAGTTATAACCTGGAGTGACAGCTGACCAGGGTTATTAGGACGCGATATGTTGATACTATCTGGACTTCCGCTGACCGGCCCACGGACTTTGCTCTGCAGAAGGGGAAAGAGGGGGAAAAGGTGTCTTTGCATGCCAACTGGAAATTGGGTAGGCTATTGGGATGCCTTAAACCAACATGGCCAATGCTATGAAATTGGAGCATTTCCCATCAAGTAGGTTTAGATATAGGAAGTCCTTGACTTGTGACCACAACTGAGTTGAAAATGTCTGCTGCCATGCAAAACATGTGAGCTTTGCCTCATTCTATGAACTTTCCTGCCACGGTTGTTAAGTGAATCTGGCTTCCTGGTTGGTTTTGCTTGTCAGAAGGTGATGACATAACTCTGTGAGACTACAACCTTTATAAATATCATCCAAATGCCAAGCGTCCGAATTCTGATCACATGACCATGGGGGTGGTGCAATGGTTGTGTGAAGAACTGCCATAAGTCATTTTTTGCCATAGTGGCGCAGTGGTCAGAATGCAGTACTGCAGGCTAATTCACTGTTCACTGCCAGCAGTTCGATCCTAACCACCTCCAGATTAACTCAACCTTCCATCCTTCCGAGGTGGGCAAAATGAGGACCCAGCTTGTTGGAGGCAAGAGGCTGACTCTGCAAACCGCTTAGAAAGGGCTGGAAAGCTCTGAAGCTGTATATAAAACTAAATACTATTGCTATTCCTTTCTTCCTTCTTTGCTTCCTTCCTCTCTCCCTCCTTCCTTCCTCCCTTCCTTTCTCATTCCTTCCTCCCTTTTTTCCTTCCTTTCTCCTTCCTTGTGGTTAGAATGCCGTATTGCAGGCTAACTCTGCTCACAGCCAGGAAGTTTGATCCTGACCAGCTCAAGGTTGACTCAGCCTTCCATCCTTCCGAGGTGGGTAAAATGAGGACCCAGATTGTTGGGGGACAATAGGCTGACTCTGCAAACTGCTTAGAAAGGGCTGGAAAGCTCTGTGAAGCGGTATATAAATCTAAGTACTATTGTTTATTACTATTTTTCTGTGCCATTATAACGCTGAATGGTTACTGAACGAACATCTATGGAGATTCTCAGTCATCCAGGTTGTCCCAAAGATGCTTTTTCAAGAAGCAACTGGACTTTCTGGTTTTTCTTTGAAGACATTTTGCTTCTCATCCAAGAAGCTTCTTCAACTGTGCATAGCTAAATGTCTATGGCGATTCTCTGTCATGCAGGTCATGGTTGTCCCAAAGGTGCTATTTCAAGAGGCAACTGGGCTTTCTGGAAAGTCCAGTTGCCTCTTGAAAAAGCATCTTTGGGTCACTGAACAAATGTAAATCGAGGATTACCTGTAGTGAGATTTTACTCACACATGCAATTTTCAGGAGATTCCAGAGCTCCTTCTGTCGTTTCTCCTGAAGCCGGACAACTGTTTTCTCATCTTCGTGCATAAGAGTCATCACCTCATCCACCTTAGGAAATAGTTCCAGGGCCTTCTGCTTGCAAACCACGGTATTACTGCAAAAATGACAATCAAAACACCTACCATGTTTCCCTGAAAATAAGACAGGGTCTTATTTTCTTTTGACCCACAAAATATGGCTTGGGCCTTATTATCAGGGGAGGCCTTATTGTTTTGGGGTTGCCGGGCGGCTGCCCCCTTGTGAGCGGGCTCCCACAGCCTCAGGGGTGAAGCAGCCATGAGGTGACCACACTCACGAGCAGCTGCCTGGCAAACTCCCTCTCCAGCTGGGCAGAGCACCATTCACCGACCTAGGGGGTAGCCCTAAGGCACCAAGCCATGTGGCGCTTTGCCTGCCCCCCAGTTCCTGCGGCTTGGCACATTCAGTATACCCCCCTAGGTCAGTGCATGGAGCTCTGCCCGGCTGGAGAGGGTGGTTGCGCGAGCGCCTGTTCCGCCCCCAGCACGCATGCCTCCCAGCCTCCCCATGCCCTGACCCAGCTCTCCCTGCAGGCCAGGGCACTGCCACCGCTTTTGCCACCACGCTCCGAGCATAACTTCTTCTCCGGCTTCTAAACTCCGGAACTCGGCTTCCAATTCTTCCAGCAGCGGCTGCTCTAGGAGCGCACTCTATGGTTGTGGACTGGCTGCGCTCTATGGTTGTGGGCCAGAGGGTGGGTTGTCCAGGGGGCTTATTTTGGGGGGGGGGGCTTTTATTTTTGCCCATGTGAAAAATGTGGTAAGGTCTTAGTTTTAGGACAAGTCGTATTTTCGGGGAAACCCGGTATTAGCAGCTGCACCCCAGGAGGCCAGGAGGTTACGGTTACTTTTAGCTCTCTGTGTACTGACACTATTCCCCCCCCCCCCCGACACTCCCGCTCCAAATTCGAAGCCCAGCAATTTTGAGAGTCTTACCTGAGTTGAACATAAAGGAGGCGGATCTTCTTTTCAAAGGTCTGGATTGCCTGTAGGAGCAATCGTACTACTTCTTGGCTGTCCCCGCTAGTCCTTTGATCTGGAGAACAATGAGAAGCATGCATCCATGAACTATTTTAGACAGGAGAAGAGATGAAAGAGAGATTGCTAAATTCTGCCATTGCTGGAGGGCCAAAGAGCGGTTGTGCTACCCTGGTAGCTTTCAATGCTTTGGACCCACCAGCTTCAAGGATTCCCAAGCATTAAGTCTTGGGTTGTCACCCAAAAGGAAATAAATGCAACAGAAGTTCAGTAGTTTGACAATGCTGTGTTTTCTATTCTAAAAGGTTATTTGTGGAGCATGCAAACGAAGAACTTGTCTGTAGCTGCTTAAAACAACTTGCACATGCCTTACTCTTTGAGTTCAGGAACAAAAAAAAAATACCCTTATTAGTCACATGTCACCAAACTCTGAGGGAAGACTCCTGTTTGCCTCAAACATGGCATAATTACGTTTTGTTACATATCTTAGTGCAGATGACATTTATTTGTATTTTCTAAAACTATTTAGAAATCAGTTCTATTTTGGTGAAAGCGGTGACAAAAATCCAGATTTGTACCATCCTTTTTACAAAAAAAGAAGTGAGTTACGTCAAATGGTCTGCCTAGGATAGCAGCAGTACTTTCTGTTTTGTAAAATAAAATCCAGATTAAGAAATTGGGGGGTGAGGGGGGAGTTCGGGATGAGTTAAAATGAGAAGATTTATGCTTGAAAATTGCATCTGGATATTTCTCTCTGGTTTTATAAAGTGGTCTTTGGAATAAACTATGGAGCAAGATTCCAATTCTGTTTTAAAAAAAAATTACCTCTTGGTTTTTCTCTCAATTTCCGGTACAACTCTCTTGCCTGGTTCTCCCTATTGAAAATAAAAATTGAAGAATAAAATTTCAAATATTGTTTGAAATCAGTTGCAATGAGCTTTCGATATCTCAAAAGTTTCTACTGTTCTGTTCAGATAATACATTAACTATAGCGTGCAATAGATATGTTTTCTACCTCTGGTCAGCAGGAAGTGAGTCAGTTTTAGTCAAAATCAACCTGGGGCTGCAGACTTAATTCACTTCCCCAATGAACAGAAACAAAAGGATTAACAAAAGGGTTACCGTGTGCTCTAGTGGCCAACAGAGCAAAGTTGCTATAAAAATCCTACTAAAACAGTGGTGCTTTGGGATTCCATCTCGATACTCGTGTTTCAGTCCTAACTTTTATCCACGGTGATTTTAATCATAGTAAGGCTATTGCAGATCTATATAACCCTTGGGCTAGTCCCTCTCAGCTCACCTCACAGGGTTGTTGTTGTGGGGGAAAATAGAAGGAGGAAGAAGGTGTGTTGGACATGTTTGAGCAAATAAATAAAATAATTATCTTCTTTTACTCTTCTCCTCCCTGACCATTGTTGTGGTGGCTAGGATGTCACCTAAGAAAGCTGCCTTTCCTAGGTGGCAATTTGACTAGGGCCCTTATAATATAGGCGCAGAAAGCGAAGAGGAACTAAAGTTGATTTCCCCAGGCTTATGATCCTGGGGGATTTCAATCTGCCTTCCATTGGCCAGATATCTGAGTCAGCCCGGGAGTTCATGGCTTCCATGACGGCTATGGACCTAACTCAGT